TGGTTCCAAATGCTTGGCTCATCTCTCTGGTTTTCCATCTTCTGCTATGTCTTGGCTTAGATTGTCTATTTAGCTTTATTTTTAGCTTTATGATACCTTCAACACTTTTTATATTTTGACTTTTTTTTTTTTTTTTTGAGATGGAGTTTCGCTCTTGTTGCCCAGGCTGGAGTGCAATGGTGTGATCTTGGCTCATCGCAACCTCCGCCTCCTGGGTTCAATGTTTCACTAACTCTCTCCTTTATCCAATTTTAATTTTTTCTTTGTTTGCTTCTTATAAACAATTTTATGTAAATGAATAAATGTGATCATAACTGCTTATTTTTTAAGTGAAACCTTTTTTTTTTTTTAAATTTTGGTTACTCCCCACCTCTCTCAATCAATCCCACGCCCGTTCCTACCAGGCGACTCATGTCATTATAATTGTTTGCGACCTCTGTTTCTCTCCATGCTTGTATAATCACATACAGAAAAAAAACCTGTAAAGACACACATACATACATTAGATAGGATGCTCTGCCATTGTTTTATAAAATTGAACTACATTATACCCACTCTTCAGCTTACCTTTTCTTGACTCAAAAATACGTCATGGAAACCTCTCCAATTCATTCTTCTGAATGGCTGAGTTGTAACTCGTGATATATAATCATTTATTCAATCATTTATCTGTAGATGGGCATTTACAATTTCCAGTTTCTTTTATCCCCCACTATGAACAATGCTGCAATAAACGTCCTTGTATATATCCTTATATACTAACACTAATGCCTTTCTTCTCATGGAATAGATTCCCAAGGGAAGAAGATATGCGGGGCATATTTTTAAAAACTTTATTGTAAGTACATTTTAAAATCTTTATTGAAGTTTAACATTCTTTTAGAACATACCATAAAAATCATATAGGAATATAGCTTATTTTTCACAAAGTGAATTGTCTTTGTGACCAGCACCCAGATCAAAAATAGAAAATTACCAATCTCAGAAGTTCCTTTCATGCCACCTTCCAGTCACTAACTCCCCTGTAAAGTGCGCATTGTGTGGACTTCTAAGACTCTCTCTCTCTATATATGAACAGACACTTTTTAAAAGAAGACATTTATGCAGCCAACAGACACATGAAAAAATGCTCATCATCATTGGCCATCAGAGAAATGCAAATCAAAACCACAATGAGATACCATCGCACACCAGTTAGAATGGCAAATGGAATACTATGCAACCATAAAAAAGGATGAGTTCATGTCCTTTGTAGGGACATGGATGCAGCTGGAAACCATCATTCTCAGCAAACTATCGCAAGAACAGAAAACCAAATACCGCATGTTCTCACTCATAGGTGGGAATTGAACAATGAGAACATTTGGACATAGGAAGGGGAACATCACACACCAGGGCCTGTCATGGGATGGAGGGAGGGAGCAGGGATAGCATTAGGAGATATACGTAATGTAAATGACAAGTTAATGGGTGCAGCACACCAACATGGCACAAGTATACATATGTAACAAACCTGCACTTGGTGCACATGTACCCTAGAACTTAAAGTATAATAAAAAATAAATTTTAAAAAAGAGCCCTTTATATGTATGTTGACTCTTTTCATCTACATTGCAAATATTTTCCCCAAATCTATTGTTTGTATATTGGCTTTTTTAATGGTATATTTTGCCATACAAACTTGCTAGATTGTCAAATGTTTGTCTTTTGTTTTACAGCTTCAAAATTTCCTGACTTAATTAAGGCTTTTATTGTCCTTTGCCAGTCAGAAATGTTGTAGCTGTTTGGGGTTTAATTTTAGGTTCCGTTTCTAGTTTCTTTACAAGCTGTCTAGTTGAACTTACCCATTCCCATAGCTTTAAATCTCCTGCATGTGCTCATGATGTCCACATGTACATCTCCAGCCCAGCCCTCTCCTTTGAGCTGCAGTAATATGAATCTCACTGCCTACCATCTGTGAGGGGTATGCCAGGTCCTGGGGGAGACAGTGGTATGTGGTCCCTACCCTCAGAACTCACTAGAGGAAGTAGGTACTGTGTGTTAAATTGAAGGGATGCCTGGGAGACTTGATATATTGCACATTTCATATTGCTGTAAGGGAAAGGCAACAAACGGTCAGTTCTGTGATATATGTAGAACTACTACAAATCTATTAGAAATTGTCAAACAACTCAACAGAAAAATAAGCAAAAGAAATAAAAAGACAATTCTCAGAAAAGGAAACCTGAATCGACAATAAACATATAAGATACTCAAAAAATAAAATGAGAAAACAAAATGAGAAAAAATAAAATTAAAATGCAATATTGTTTAAACCCTCAGATTGGCAAAACTTTAAAAGCCTGACCGTATATCAAGTGGGGTGAAAATATTAGGAAAAGATAACTCTACTGCTGGCCAAAGTATTCAACAGCACAACCGCCCTGGAGGGCAGTCTGGCAAATATCTAATAGTATTGAAGATGCACCTACCCTTTGACTTAGCAGTTCTGCTCCTCAATAGACCTGTAACAGTGCTTCTAAATCTAAATCTTTCATGTACAAATCACCAGGGGGGCTCTTGTTAAAACACAGATTCTCCTTCAGTAGGCCTGGGGAAGAACCTGTGATTCTTAATTTCTAACAAGCTCCCAGGTGATATCATTGCTGTTGGTCTAGGGGCACACTTAAAGTACCAAGGCCCAAGGGAAACTCTTGAACATAAACTCAAAGGGCATACACGAAGATGTTCATTAGAGCCGCTGATGTATTGATGATCATCTGAAAACTAGGGGTATGTGCAGCTAAATTTGTATAGTTGAATGCAAGAGTTAAAGGAACTGGAGATACACATACCAACCTAGATCAAAAAACATTGTTGAGTGGGGGAAAACCATGATGTAGGAAGGATACACAGAAAGTGATAACATTCACATTTTAAAATAATACTGTACTTTTTTGATACATATCAAAAATATATATCAAAAGTAAAATAATATAAACTTGCATGGGAATGATAAACATCAAATACACAATAGTTATTAGTTGCACAAGGGAGGGGAAGGAGAACAGGGAGGGTATATGGGTATTCAGTTGCATTCGTAATGCTTTAGTTATTAAACTGGGTAATCAGTACACCTAGTTTAATAATACAGCTGTGTCATATTTTCTATTTTTTGTACATCTGAAATATCTAATTAAATAACTAAGACAAGTAATAGCTTCAAGTTTTAAGGTGAGGAAACTGAGGCTCAAGAACTTAACTTGCTGTGCCAAACTTCAGATCTAGGCTATACTTTTTCCACATTATTGTGCTGCTTTGAATTAACAAAACAAAACAAACATGGATTTACCATGTCAAAGGCAAGACTATATTCCTGGAGGTTGGTCTCCATAAAGACAGAATCAAACTGCACTCCCAGGTGTTTGCTTAGGTACATGACAACCACTGCAAATCACAGATTTTGAGCTCTAATAACTACAGCTCAAAGCCCAACGCCTAAAAATAATTGCTTTGTTTTTGGACATGGCACAAAATATTTTTCTAGCAGATAAAATATGGCCATTAAAAGAAGACTTTTACTCAAGAAAAATGAAAATAAACCACAACTCCAAAATAAAAGAAAGCAAACCCAAATGTGAGTTTAACAAGCCTCAGAGTCCCTCTTAGATTGTTTCCTGGTCTTCCAATGGCATTGAAGCAAAACTAGGGGGTGGAATGGGAAGAGCAGAGAGGTTTTTTGGTAAAAATCTTTTAAAAACTTAAATTTTTGTTTTGTTTTGTAGAGACAGAGTCTCACTATGTTGCTCAGGCTAGTCTTGAACTCTTGGGCTCAAGCAATTCTACTGTCTCAGCCTTCCAAAGTGCTGGGATGAGAGGCATGAATCACCAGCCCAGCCTTGTAAACGTTTTTGTAAAGGTAGTACGCTGAGCTGCCAGTGGTAAAGACTTCAAAATAAAAGGTGTTAGAAGAAGGAAGGAGCCAAGGCTTTTCCACACACCCACCTTGCCACCCTGCATGTGGCCTGCCGGGTCCTGGCCTCTCCAAACCTTCTTCCCTCACTCTCTCCTGCCCGATTTCTCTTTCCTGCTGTTAGAACCTGGTTCTGCCTCTGTTCTGCCCAAAGTCTCTTCGAAATATGTTAATGGCAGGGAGACAGTACTAAAGGGCCTAAGTCTTAGTATCAGAAAAACCTGGATTTAAAATCCTACGACACTACTGAGCAACTCACTCAACCTGAGACAGTCTATCTAAACCAGTGCTGTCCAACAGAACTTGGTGTGGTGACGGACATGTTCTCTACACTGTCTGGTATGACAGCCACTAGCTACATGTGACTGTTGAGCAGTTGAAGTGAAGCTAGCATGACTGAGAAACTGAATTTTTTATTGTACTTCATTTTAATTAACTTAAATAGCCATGTGACTAATGGCAACCAAATTGGATGGAGCAAGTCAAAAAATGGAGAATGCCCCCTCACACAGAAGATCAGCAGTGATAACAGATGTGAAATGCCCCAATATGGTCTACTATTAAACTGCATCCTGCCTTGAAAGACTTTCCGAGTATTGAAATGACAGCCCTCAGGCACTTAATGTACTGACTTGGCTGGTCTTTGTGAGTATGCCTGCACAGGCCGATTCAGCCACAGAAGCACTAACACTGGGGCAACACCTAGGTACAGACACATAACTCTCACTTTTTAATTACCGCCTGAGGTAGCACCTGATACAATCTGGTGTAAAGGAGTTTGCTTCTTTTCCTTTTGGTTTATGTCTTCACCATGTTAATTAAACAAAATAACCACATTTTCAGAAACCTACATTTTAAATTAAATTCTTGTGACACTCACTATCTGAAGTTTCCTTAATGTTTCCAAATAAAAAAAGTTGCTCATTTTCTTCAGTTAAACTAATTGTATCATTATGTACCAACTGCTGTAAACTAGAGAGTTTACAGCACAGGTTAAAAACACATAAAGACTTACCCATACATAGAAACACAAATCAAGCAGATTTTGTTTACAGTATTTATTATAGTAAAGGTTACTGTTGTAAAACATTAGTGACTTTGGTCCATATCTTATTTTCCATTTGTCTTTAAAACATTTTACATTATTTGCATCATACATTGTAATTTTTATGACTATACATAATTGGTTTTTTTCCTGACCCTTGGAATGTTACAGTTTCATGTAACTTTTTAAAAAATAAAAACATTGCAGACTAAATGTACTGATAAGTACATACTGAACAATTTAATTACCACAGTAATTAAAAAGTCCTGATCTTTACTTCTTAAGATTAAGATTCATTAACTTGCAATCTCTGGGATTTCTCTATTATCCACAATGAGAGTATGAATAATCCCTTCTTTCCGCTTCCCACTACTGACAGCCTTTATGTAACAGTCGTGGTTCCCGAGACTGAAGTGAGTTTCAGTCCCATCATCTACAAACTCACCCTGGATCAACAAAAGAAGAAGGAATTAGTGGTGCACAAACATTTCTCTTTGTCTAGAGCATTAACACCATCTAAAAGTACTAGTAGTACAATAAAATAATGTATTAAACAATAAGCTTTGAAAAACAAAGTCTAAAGCTTGTACTTAGATACTTTTACATTTCTGTTATGAATTGAAAGTTTCCTTTTTATAACCCCTACAATCCTTAAGAATCTTAAATTCTTGGGGGAGGAATATAAACCTCATGGCTATGTGTCTATAACATATGTTTTCAAAAATAAAAATGATAAACATGACATTTATTAGTTATTTATAAATGCCTCAAGTGATCTACCTGCCTCAGCCTCCCAAAGTGCTGGGATTACAGGTGTGAGCCACGGCATCCAGCCAGGGATAGTGTTCTTAGCCACTCTGAAAATCTGATTCCTCTGGGTATAAGGTGGCTTACAATAAAATATACAGACAACAAAACCAAACACCACTAAATCTATACCTGTTCTGTTCAATACAGCAGCCACTGGCCACATGTGGCTATTGGGCACTTGAAATTGACTAGTCTGAAAATAGATACGCTGTTTAAATATAAAATAGACACTAGATTTGAAACACCTAGTATGAAACAAAAAATATATAAAATAACTTTTCATACTGATTACATGTTAAATAATATTTTTGATATATTGATTTAAATTAAATATAATATTAAAATTAACTTCATCTAAAATGTTTTCAAATGTGGATACCAGGTAAGTTAAAATTACACATGAAGGTCATATCTGTGCCTCATACGGTACTTTGATTGGGTAGCAGTGATCTAGAGTAAAAACATTAGCACAGAGAAGGAAGGAAGGAAGAAGAGGCTTAGAGGATAAGAAATGATTTATGCTAGAAAGCAAAGAAACAGAAAATCAGATTTAAACCCTGGCTATGAGCTTCCTGGCAGCCAAAGTAGACAGAACAAGGCCCCCCAGTTAACAATACCAAGCCGAAGAAGGCACAGGATGCCTCAGGGAGAGAAGCCTTTTCCCAGCTCTGGGAAGGATGTGGCCAGTGGCTCCTTATGGGAGGTGTGCTGAATACCACAAGCATGTCCTTGGGTGCAGTGTGTTCCTGTCCCCATTTTTAATATTAAGCCTTGAAAAAAAGACTTCAGAGGAAAGGGCAAGGGTTAGGTAATATAATCTATATAACCAGCTTCTTGGCAATTGGACAAATATATAATTTTGGCACGATGCTTTGAGATAAAAAGGAGAAAATCAGCTGTAACTCACAGGCAACAGGATGAGTTTGTTGTGTGTACATACAGTACTGGGGAAGGCTGCCCAGATACGGAGCTGCCCAAACTGCCCTGCAAACTAGGCTGTAGTTACAATGAGAAAGCAATTGTGTTATAAAGAGCTATTTTCCAAACACATGTGGTTTCCTGTTAAATACTACAAAACAAAGATATGTGGATGAATATTATTTTCACCTTTTTACAACCACAACAACATTCTTTGTGTGTGTGTGTGACAGGGTCTTGCTCTTGCCACCCAGGCTGGAGTACAGGGGTACAATTGTAGTTCACTGCAGCCTTGAACTCCTGGGCTCCAGCAATCCTCCTGCCTCAGCCTCCTGAGCAGCAGGGACCAGGCACACACCAACATACACAGCTAACTTTAAAAAAAAAGTTTTGTGTAGAGATACAGTCTTATCATGCTGCCCAGGGTGGTCATGAGCTCCTGGCCTCAAGTGATCCTCCCATCTCGGCCTCCCAAAGTTACAATTGCATTTTTTTTTTTTTTTTTTTTTGAGACAGGGTCTCGCATTCTGTTACCGAGGCTGGAGTGCTGTGGTGCAACCTTGGCTCACTGCAGCCCCAACCTCCCTGGGATCAGGTAATTCTTCCACCTCAGCCTCCCGAGTAGTTGGGACTACAGGTATGCGCCACCATGCTCTACTAATTTTTGTATTTTTAGTAGAGAGGGGTTTCGCCATGTCACCCAGACTAGTCTCAAACTCCTAGGTTCAAGCAATCTGCCCGCCTCGGCCTCCCAAAGTGCTGGGATTACATGCATGAGTCACCTCGACCAGTACAACCACACTCTTAATACCATAAAACAGCATTCTCTTTACATGTGCACTGGAGAATTTCCCGAGTGTGAGAGGAAATGAGATTCAAAAGTACTGATTCTCTATCTAGAGAATTCCAGGCTAGGAAAAAAAGAACAGGAAGAACCACCAGGTATGGCATTGGGCACAGAGTAGGTATCTGATCTATGTTAGTGGTAACTGGAGTTTTTCCAAAGGGGGCCATAAAATACTGAAGCACTCTCCAAGCCTCTCTGCATAAAAGAAGTCTCTATCAGCAGATTTAACCCAGAGAGCAGCTCAAGCACTCAATTTTGAGTGAGCCCAAATTAAATTCTTCAGGACTCAGAAACAGAAAAGCATTCATCTTTGTGACTTTTAAATTTCAATTTATTGATTAATTATTTTAGAGATGGGGTCTCACTACGTTGCTCAGGCTGGCCTAAAACTCCTAGACTCAGGGGTTCCTCTCACTTCAGCCTCCCAAGCAGGAGGCCACTACAGACCTGTGCTACCACGTGTGGCTTCATCTTTGTAATTTTTGATTTCTGGCTTTGTCACCTCCTCAGAAACAGCTATCAGACCAAGTAGGTTCTAGATGGTCTTATGAATAAATTAATCCCAGATCTCCTTTCCTCCAACTACCAACAGCACCTTTTCTCACTGTCTTATACCTATACTATACAAATGAGATAAAAGCAACTACAACATGCAAAATGTGACCAGAGAAGACAGCTTCCCATTATCTCTAGCCCTGATGTTCACATCTGGAGCCAGCATGAAGGTGGGTCGCAGCGACAGCACTCCCTGCTTGGCCCGCAGATCCCATAAGACATGGGGCTTACCACCCAGTGATTTCAGCTCCTAGCCCCACACTTTGTTTCCCACTCTCTCCCCTGTGCGCACTACTACTGTTTCATTCCTCCTTGAAATTCACTCCTACATTTATCCCATCCACAGCCACAGTAATCCAAGCACCTGATAGCAAAAGCCAAACACACTGGAGTCTAGATGGGGATTTCAGTGTGCCTGGCCACAGTGACTGGGGTAGCCTCTTTCTCCCTGCATCGGCACTGCTGGTCTAAAATTCCACTCTTCCTCTGGGCTTTGTGAGAGTGCCCTTTCCTGTTCGTCTACCTTCGCGTCATCTGATACCGTATCAGTCATTTTACAAAAATCTCGCTTTCAGAAAAGAACGCTCTGCTTGAGTGTATGGTATAAAGCATTCCTAAAGTGTGTTCTGTGGACCAGCAGCACTAGCAGCACCCAGGGAAATGTTAGAATTAGCATTTTAACGAGATCCCAGGCAATTTCTGTGCATGCAAGTTTGAGAAGCAGTGATATGTAACGCACCACTTCAAATGGATAAACACAAGAGGACACCAACCTTTGGGGATATAATTTTAACTAGGGGCTCTTTTTAGGTATTTTACTTGCTAGGTATTTTACTGGTATTTTACTTGCTATGCTAGAGCCTGGTCCAGGACAGGAAAGGGAGAGTACGAAGTTGGTGTCAGCTAAGAACATAAGTTGTTTCCAAACTCATGGCACCAGGCACTGTCTGGCAAAGGTTTTCAGAATCTGGAGTCAGGAGTACTTAATCTCTTTTTTGTTTTTATCAACAGGGCCTTGGTTCATTATAAAATCTCTATAATTAGGAAATGCAGCAACAATTCAATGGTAACTTAGATACATGGCACTTAGAGTCATCAAATAGTCAACTTACTGCTGTCTCCAGTTTTTTACCATTGCACCATACGTCCATAGTGTCTTTTTCTGTAAAAGTAGCATAAAAACTTTAAGTTATAATTCTGTGAATTAAAGATAAAGCTAACTTTTCCTGTTTATTACTTTAGGAAAGGATTGATATACCAGATCTCTAAAACTCCATTAATATTCCAAAACCCAATACTTTTTCATGGCTTTCATGGCTTGGAGACTCTCCTAAAGTTTGAAGAAGCTGTGTTTGTTCTTTGTTCATAAAACTATAATGAAACAAAACAATCTTTTAAGAGAAAGTTATGGTCCTAATACAAATTGATGAAGCCTTATGAAACAAAATAAATCCAAAAGGACCATCTTTAAAGGAGGATGGATACAGGCCGGGTGTGGTGGCTCACGCCTGTAATCCCAGCACTTTGGGAGGCTGAGGCGGGCGGATCACGAGGTCAGGAGATCAAGACCATCCTGGCTAACATGGTGAAACCTTGTCTCTACTAAAAATACAAAAAATTAGCCGGGCATGGTGGCGGGCGCCTGTAGTCCCAGCTACTTGGGAGGCTGAGAGGCAGGAGAACGGCGCGAACCTGGGAGGCGGAGCTTGCAGTGAGCCGAGATCACACCACTGCACTCCAGCCTGGGCGACAGAGCAAGACTCGGTCTCAAACAAACAAACAAAAAAGAAGGATGCATACAGATGAATGTGAGCAGGGACCTTTCCACACAAAATGTCCTTCAGTACTGACCAGATGACTCCCCTGCCTCCCACACTCACCCAACTGGATAATGGCACAGAGGGACCACCGAAAGCAGCTGCCACGGGGTTTATACAGGATAGACAGCACGTCCACTTTAGAAATCTAGTCCAGCTTCTTACTAGGTAGTACAATAATGCCTATTTCTTTTCAGAGTGGTTTCACTTTAGAGAAAAATTACTGGATTACAAGTAAAAAATAGGTATAGCTGGTGGACTGCACACTAAGGAACAATACAGAACAAAATGCTGCCCCGACACACTTAAACGCATCAGTTAACTTGCCATAGCTCACCTTAGGGTGGGGGAGTCCCCAGAGCCCCTTGCGAATGTTAGTGTCCTGGGAGTATCAGGAGAGAAGACTGCACTAGTCAAGAAGCCGGAAGATGAGCTTTGGGTATTATAGCGAAGAAGAGAAGGAAGTGTGGCCTGTATGTGCACAAGGAGTCTGGGGGTCAGGTTTGAGGCACCAGTCCAGGGTCTGACTACCTGGCCATCTGCTCCAGGAGCACAGTCTAAAGGGGGTTCTTTCCCTCCCCACACCTTGAGATGGGAGCCTCACTTAGAGATGGGAGAAAAGCCTGTGAGGTGCGCTAGATGGAAAAAGAGAAAGCCAGAGGGGTCCAGGAGATATGGGCAGGGGTCACCTCAGTGGCAGCCTTAGTAGAAAGTCACTACAGTCACAGCTGCAGGTAAACTCAACTTGTCCCAAGACATGATCAGTGTGCACAGTGCTATGATAAACCACGATGGTGGTGGAAACTCGTATTTTACTTGCTATACTTACTGAACATGTGCAGGTACTCAGAGTTTCTACAATAGCGTATTAGCATGCCTCTGAAGAACACTACTAATCCAGAAGCCCTGAAAGTAAATGTATTAAATTTGACTACATAAAAGTAAAGAAAAGGCCGGGCGCAGTGGCTCATGCCTGTAATCCCAGCACTCTGGGAGGCCGAGGTGGGCAAATCACGAGGTCAGGAGTTCGAGACCAGTCTGGCCAACATGGTGAAACCCTGTCTCTACTAAAAATACAAACAATTAGCTGGGCATAGTGGTGGGCGCCTGTAATCCCAGCTACTTGGGAGGCTGAGGCAGGAGAATTGCTTGAATCCGGGAGATGGAGGTTGCAGTGAGCCAACATTGCACCACTGCACTCCAGACCAGACTAGGCGACAGAGTGAGACCCTGTCTCAAAAAAAAAAAAAAAAAAAAAAAAGTAAAAAAGCCACAGCACAACTGAAGAAAATGCACACACATTAGCCAAGTTATGCAATAAATGACAAACTTGGAAAAATGTTTCAAACTCATGGCACGAACAAAGGACTAAACTTACTAATGTGAAGACTGTGAGAAATGAAGGAGAAAAAGACCAACAACCAAAAGAAAATAAGGCAAAGGGCACGAACAGGCATCATGAGAAAGGAAACACAAAAGAAACTTAAACCTAAGATGCTCAACCTCACTTTTGAAAAAGACAAATAAAAACAACCCTGAAATACCATTTCTTCTCCTAGCAGAATGCCAAAAAATCCAAAAGTTTGGCAACATGTTCTGCTGGAGAACCTGGGGGAAAATAGCTAATGGGGGTACAAAATGGTAAAAGTACTATAGAAGGCAAATGGGCAGAAATCGATTAAAATGACAAATACAATTATTCTTTGACCCAGAAGAAGTCCTACTTTCCTACTTCCAGAAATGTGTACTAATATACTATGTGTCCTGTATTCCAAGAGGCATGCAAACAAAGCTATTCATGCAGCATTGCTTTTAACAGCAAAAGATTAGAAACAGCTCAAGCGTTCATCAGTTGGGAATGAGCTAAATATTTACTATTGAAATTTACTCTGTAGCTACAAAAAAGCATGAAAAAGTTCTTTAGGTTCTGATATAAAAGGATCTTCAGAATGTACTAAGTGAATAAAGCAAGATGCTTTTATGTGATAAGAGATAATATGTGTATTTGCTTGAATCTGAATAAAGAAACACTAGAGTGACACTAAAAATGGTTATCTTGGGGGAAAATGGCAGATGGGAACAGGGATGGAAGCAAGACTTTTCACTGTGTCTTTTAAGAGCACTTTGATTTCTGAATCTTGAGTATGTAACCTATTCAAAACAATATGTTAATAAAAGGATATATCTGGCTGATAAAATGTCAAATCTATCATGACTCAGAGGTGGATTCAGTGACTCATGGGAGGTGCTGCTGCATGTTCGTCTTGAAGCATCTCCTCTTTACCTGCCTGCAGATTCCCTCAGCCACAAGAACAATAGCTAGGGACTTCCCAGGTGAGTCCTGAGCAGGTTATGTTCTGTAAATGCTACCAGAGAAGTGAAACTTTTCAGAACAGAAAGAGAATTTCCTTTCAACATGAAGTTTCATACGTACTTTCCTCCTGCCAGTTTTATTTTCCTCCCATGATATTCAGTGGTGTGGAGACTACCAGAGCTAAGAATGCTAACCAACTCTGTTTTCATTGCCCTTATATGCCTCACATTTTTGGGGTGGTGAAAAAGAATGCACATGATCTTTGAGGTCAGGTCTCAGCATCACTTTTTACTAGCAGTACCCTTTGGCAAGTCACCACTACTCTGAGCTTCCATTTCCTCAGGGGCAAATGAAGATACCACTTTTCCCACAGGTTGTTATAAGGGTTAGGAATAATTTATATGAAGTGCCTATTACAGTATCCAGCACATAATATGACCTCAGTAAATCATAATATTTTGTTATTCAAAGCTTTTTCGTGGCCTTGCTCTAATTTCTCAATATAAAATTTAGAAAGTCATATAATACTATCATTTGAAACTTGCCACATAATATATATAAGTGACTTTTACCAGGAGACCCTAGATAAGCCCATTCTTTGCCCATGAGTAGTAATAATAACCACAAATAATATTTTAAATTAATTATTATTATTATTTTTGAGACAGAGTCTTGCTTGATCACCTAGGCTGGCGTGCAGTGGCGCGATCTCGGCTCACTGCAACCTCCGCCTCCCAGGCTCAAGCAATACTCCTGCCTCAGCCTCCCAAGTAGCTGGGGTTACAGGTGCCCACCAAAATGCCCAGCTAATTTTTGTATTTTTAGTAGAGACGGGGTTTCACCATGTTGGTCAGGTTGGTCTCAAACTCCTGACCTCAAGTGATCCACCTGCCTTGGCCTCCCAAAGTGCTGGGATTACAGGTGTGAGCTACCATGCCCAGCCAAATTATTATTAATTTTGAGGCAGAGTTTCACTCTGTCATCCAAGCTGGAATGCAGTGGTGCAATTTAGCTCACTGCAACCTTGAATCCCTGGGCTCAAGTGATCCTCTCACTTCAGCCTCCCAAGTAGCTGGGACTACAGGCACGTGCTACGTGACTCAGCAAATATGTAAATATTTTGCAGAGATGAGGTCTCCCTATGTTGCCCAGGCTGGTCTCGAACTCCTGGGCTCAAGTGATCCTCCCACTTTGGCCTCCTAAAGTGCTGGGATTACAGGTGTGAGCCACTGTACCTGGCTGACAAATAATATTTTTAAAGAATTCACAATGTGAGAACCACTGCTAAGTACTTTACATGTACTAAATCAATTAAGCTTCGCTCATACCACAACTCTGTGAAGGAGTTACCATTATTATCCCCATTTTTTTTGTTTTTTTGTTTTTTTTTGAGACGGAGTCTTGCTCTGTCGCCCAGGCTGGAGTGCAGTGGTGTGATCTCTGCTCACTGCAAGCTCTGCCTCCTGGGTTCACGCCATTCTCCTGTCTCAGCCTCCCGAGTAACTGGGACTACAGGTGCCCACCACTGCGCCCGGCTAATTTTTTTGTATTTTTAGTAGAGACGAGGTTTCACCATGTTAGCCAGGATGGTCTCGATCTCCTGACCTCGTGATTCGCCCGCCTCGGCCTCCCAAAGTGCTGGGATTACAGGCATGAGCCGCCGTATTATCCCCATTTTACAGATGAGGAAACCAAGGCTCAGAGGTTAAGTAATTTGCCCATCGCACAGCTCTGATCCGGGAGCCTGCATTCTTCATAACTAATCTGTAAAATGTAGGCTGTAGTCAGCATAGTCCACAGTTTGATGGATCTTGGAAGTAGAGGTGCAAGCAATATCAGTAACATAGGGAATTTTGCCTTTACCTCAGTAAACGACCCTGGTCCCTTGTCCCTTCCAAACAACAAAAGGGACAAGTCTGGGCTGAACTCTGTCTCATTTCCAGGCTCATGAGGGATTGCAAATGGATAGGGAAGAGTAAAGGCAGACAAGGAGTAAAAGGAGAAAAACAGATTTTTTGAAAGACCGGAGATAATTCACAAGTAGATAAGCAGGTCCCTGGGCGTTTAAAAGAGAACTAACTGTATGCTAGGCATAGCTTAGGTAGTCTCTTCCATTTCTCCCAGGAAAAGTTAATATCAATTGTATTACAAGTTGGCGAAGGAGCTGATTAAGTACCTAAAATTAACTAAAGGCCTGGTTTCATCATCTGTTAAAGTCCCATATGTTCAAGAGTGTTGACACTAATCATAATCCTTTTAAAAACTAAAATTTCCATTATTAATGAGATCCAGTGGTTCTAAAACTTTATTGCAGAATGAGTAACTATATTCCTAAATATATCACTATGAAATTTGGAAATATAAGGGATAAGATGAGCTCCCAAAACCTTCTGGAAAGAAAAAAATGAGATTCAGATTGGCACAAAACTTCTCATTTCAAACAACAGAGAATAAAAGCTATTGGAATAAGGGTTTCAAAAATTCTGAGAGAAAATTAGTTTGAAATTAAAACTCTGTACTGAACAAAACTATCAATTTAGCATTAGGATCAAAGTTATGTTTATTTCTTAGACACCCTTTATCAGGAGATTACCTAAGGATATATTCCAGTAAACAAAGATGAAAGCAGGAGTTAAGGGGTTCAATAACTAGAAGAACAAGAGTTCCATGAAAGAAAGTCTAGGGTGGCTATGAAGCAGCAGACTTGGATATTTAGAACAGGAAGCCAACAGACTCCCAATATTGTTGTTAAGAATGAAAAGAAGGGTGGTCACAGCTGCTTATACCTGTAATCCCAGTACTTTTGGAGGCTGAGGCAGGAGGATTACTTGAGCCCAGGAGCTCAAGATCAGCCTGGGCAACACGGTGAGATCCTGTCTCTACAAAATTTTTTTTTAAAGTTAGCCTGGCATGGTGATGTGGACCTGTGGTCCCAGCTACTCGGGAGGCTGAGGCTGGAGGATCACCTGATCCCAGGAAGAGAAAGTTGAGCCATGTTCATGCACACCAATGCATTCCAGCCTGGGCGACAAAGTGAGACCCTGTCTCAAAAACATCAAAGAATGAAAAGAATTCCAAGCAATAGAGAACATGAGTAAAACTGCTAACAGACATAGGAATATGGGTAAAGAAAAGATATATATCTACTTTCCATAAGAAAAGAGAAACCCAAACAGGAAAGCCTAGAAAAACAAACAAACAAAACTCTTCAAAAAGTCCTAAACTTTGATAAGTTTTATCTGATGCAGTACTAAGCCTATTGTTATCTAGGAAAATATTGCTTTCTTACTGATAAATCCTAAATTTCCAACTGTCTTTAAGATATATTTATAAAGAGAAATACCAAATAATATCAAAACCTGCACCAATATTACTTTTTTTTTTTTGAGACAGAGTCTTGCTTTGTCACCCAGACTGGAATGCAGTGGCACAATCTCGCTCACTGCAACCTCCACCTCCTGGATTCAAGTGATTCCCTTGCCTTAGCCTCCTGAGTAGCTGGGATTACAGGCATGTGCCACTATGTCCAGCTAATTTTTGTATTTTTAGTAGAGAGGGGGTTTCACCATGTTGACCAGGCTGGTCTCAAACTCCTGACCTCAGGTGATCCTCCCGCCTTGGCCTACCAAAGTGCTGGGATTACAAGCATGAGTCACCGCGCCTGGCAATATTACATTTTTTTAAAACCTAAACTTATAATCCTCAAATCCATCACCATAAAACCTGGCTTAAGATAGCTTACATATAAAATGATGGATTAAATTAATGCTTCGTTTACACAGGACACATTAGAAATACACCTGCTGGACAATATACACACCTGCTAGACAATCCCAAGCAGATGGGAAACAAAAAGATTTTTTAAAATGTTTTTAAACAAATGAAATATACCTGCACTTACACGCCCTCTCCTTTTCAAACCTCCATAGAAGGTCTGAATAGTTACAGGAATTAAACAGACATTATAAAAAAATAAGTTATGCAGAAACAGCACTAACTTACCCAAAACAATTCTAAAGTTCTCACCATCCATGTGTAATACCCAAGTATTGGTGGTTTTTGATCTGTTCTCCATATACTTCTTAAGACTCTTCCCATTAATTTCCAGAGTATATTCATAAGCAAAACCACCGATAGCATCTATATTTATGGTCGCTTTTGTCTTTGCAGCTCCAACACAGAATGTTTCTCTGCCCACTAATTTGAACATCCAATCTTTCCTTATCTCTTCCTACATAATAAAATAGAAAAATTTTAAACAGTCAAACGGAAGAAAAATTAATATTTAATTTTAGAAATAACGTAAAGTGAACAAAGGCAATGCCATTTAGATATAATTTTATTGCCAGGCATGGTGGCTCATGCCTGTAATCCCAGCAAGCTTTGGGAGGCTGAGGCGGGCGGATCACGAGGTCAGGTGTTTGAGACCAGCCTGGCCAACACAGTGAAACCCCGTCTCGACTAAAAATACAAAAAATTAGCCTGGCATGGTGGCGGGTGCCTGTAATCCCAGCTACTTGGGAGGCTGAGGCAGGAGAATCACTTAAACCCAGGAGGTGGAGCTTGCAGTGAGCCGAGACCACAGCACTGCACTCCAGCCTGGGTGACAGAGCGAGACTCCGTCTCAAAAAAAAAAAAAAAAAAAAAAAAAAAAAGGATATAATTTTATTAATTTATGATGCCAAGGTTTTAGAAAATAAAAGCACTTTAAGTTTAAATATTACATGCTGGCCGGGCGCGGTGGCTCAAGCCTGTAATCCCAGCACTTTGGGAGGCCGAGGTGGGCGGATCACGAGGTCAGGAGATCAAGACCATCCTGGCTAACACGGTGAAACCCCATCTCTACTAAAAAATACAAAAAAACTAGCCGGGTGAGGTGGCAGGCGCCTGTAGTCCCAGCTACTCGGGAGGCTGAGGCAGGAGAATGGCGCCAACCCGGGAGGCAGAGCTTGCAGTGAGCGGAGATCCGGCCACTGCACTCCAGCCTGGGTGACAGAACGAGACTCTGTCTCAAAAATAAAATAAAATAAAACAAAATAAAATAAAAATAAATAAATAAAAAATATTACATGCTATATTCCATGAATTCTATAACTATTTACACAGCAAAATGATACAGATCAAAAACATGACTATAAGAAAAAAAAACCCCAAATTCACATATGAAGATGCTACTTTAACAAAATCAAGCTTCTCTATACATCATATTTTACAGAGTAACATATTTTCTTCCTACCTTTCCATCTACATATACTACTCGTTTGCCTGATGTAGTCCCATGTTCAAATTCAATCTTGTGGACTCCGTCACTTAAAGCAACATCCCAGACAGCTACGAGGTCTGTCATTTTTTCTAGACTGTAAGGAGGGCTAAAGGAATAAAATAAAGCAATTATACAGGGCCTAAATACTAATTAAATAACCAATTAATCCTTCCAAGATGAAAATATTAGATTAAAACCTCTAAAATGTCAAAATATTAAAGTGACAGTACCTAAGAAATTCTACTCACAGTACATGTAACTATTTTCTCCTTCTTATTCACTCTTCCTTTAAGATACAACTACTATATATGGGTACATAGTCCGATTACTTCTAAAAAAAGCCACCTGAATATTAATAGGATTAAGAAAGCATCAGTTTATCCTGGTTAGTATTTTAGGTTAGGCTACAGTATAGTGCATGGAAAGGCCAGTAAAAAGTCTTTACTCTTCCCCCACCAGCTCCCATTTAAAAACCATGGTATTTAATTTTATTCTCCTTTTCAGGTCTAATCACTCTAAAACAAGAACTCTCCAAACCTCCCATACTTAAACTAATACTAGGGATTTGTTTTAACAAAAAGTTTCTAATTTATTATACTGAGACAGAAAAAAGTCATGGAAGAAATGTCCTATAATAAAGATAAAAATAATTTTAATATGTCATGAAAAATATTCTTGGCATTATTACAGGAAACCTTATTTAAAAAAATAAAGGACTTTGGGCTGGGTGAGGGGCTCATGCCTGTAATCTCACACTTTGGGAAACCAAGGTGGGCAGATTACTTGAGCCCAGGAGTTCCAGACCAGCCTGGGCAACATGGTGAAACCCTGTCTCTACAAAAATATTAGTCACACAGGATGGCTAATGCCTGGAGTCCCAGCTACTTGGGATGCTGAGGCAAGAGAGTCATCTGAGACCAGGAGGTTGAGGCTGCAGTGAGCCATGATTGCACCACCAGGTTTCAGCCCAGGTGAAAGACTGAGACTGTCTCAAAAATAAGAAGTAAATAAAGGATTGTGGTTTGTCAGAAATTTCTGGCATATACTTAAACGTATATTTTTGAGTGTGAATGATATAATACATATATAATACCTAATTAATATTTTGACACTGGTGTATCTTTTTAGCTTTGACAGAAGTATCATTTATTACAGTAATAATGATCATAGCTAACAGCTATTAAGTATTACTATGTGCCAGTCACTGTTCTAAGAGCTTTAAATATGTTAACTCGCAGAATCACCATGAGATGGCTACTGTTAGTATCCTTATTTTACAGATGAGGCTCAGAGAGGCTAAGGGTTTACCTAAGGTTACAAAGACATTAAGTGGCAGAGGCAGGATTTAAACCTAGGATTCTGGCTCCAAAGCCTGTTCTCTTAACTACATCTTCCTCTTTGTTCACCCTAATCCCCTTTGTATGCTCTAAACTGAAGATGGTAAATGGATTTTATATCGTTTTGAAGTAGTTGCCAAGAACTCTGTGCTGAGAGAAAAGAGGAGACGTCATAACAAGGCTCTACCGAAATGGATGCCATGTTACTGGAGGCTACCCCCATGCCAGGTATTTACTACTCCTGCTCGAAATCATTTAAAAGTAGAACCATGTATTCTGAAATTTTACAGAATGTATTCTTAACACAGTAGCTTGGATAAATCACTCTTTTGAATGATAACAATTTTGAAAATGTCAAAGGCTAGTTTACTGCAATATAAGACATTTACCTTTCATCATCTTCAAAGATAGGACTGTCATCTCCAGATGCCATGGTTGGCAAAAACAGTCTTTAATCCAATTAGCAGCCAGGAAAGAAAAAAGCAGAATTGCAGCAAAGAGAGACTGAAAGCAACAATGATGACATCTACAAAGGGTTTTTCTAATTTTGCAATCCATTTATTAAATTACATGGAGTTTCCGATGAAACAGCTTTCACATAAAATAGAACTGCAATCTTTACTTTTCAGAGAAAGATGTTACATCATGCAAATCAGTCATATTTCTCCCTGTTATGGATTTATAATTTCTTAAAGGTATACTTTATCAAAACTAAAGAACAAACTCTCATTTATTGCATATCAGAGCTGCAAGAGACCTAAGAGATCCTCTGGGTCTTATGCTTCTCAAATTGAAGCACAAGAAGCCCCAAGGCTATGAGTCAGGGAATACATCAAACTCCAGGATAAACACAATGCATCTTCTGGGAGCATCAGTGTTAAAGTGGTAACTAATTTAACATGTAATCTTTATTTTAGAAGGCTACACTATGGTGGAACATAATTTTTAAAATCTTTGTTTAGATAACTTCAAAGAACTGATGAGTTTGCAAGAAGCAGACAGGGATATGCTGGTCTGCTTTCAAAGAGCAAACTTAATTGATCCCCCTACTTAAGCCCATTTAATTTACTAGTGCCAATGATGAATCGACAAAAGTCATGTGGCTGGCTCATGTAACTGGCACTATCCAACCCAGAACTAGAGTCCAGTACTATGCAATGAACTAAACAGTAACTGGGCCGCAGTGTTAATTAAGCTGTACTAAAATCAGAAATGCACACAAATTCACATGCATAGGAAACCCTCACATAGGAAACCCTCACATTTGAAGATTTGGGATTCACAGTTTCACTCCTGCCAAAGTACCCTAAATTCAACTATGTTTTGCTTCCAAGATCTACCCTAGTTTAGCCCTTTCCTTAATTAGCGCCTGTTTCCTATAGATGCTCAAGAATGCTCTCTCCTGGTTAAAAATAGGAGATTGCTAACCCTCTGTGGCTGGAAACAGCCAGAAGTCACAAATTATTAAAAAGTTTTTTGTTTGTTTTTGAGACAGAGCCTCACTCTGTCTCCCACGCTGGAGTGCAGTGGCATGATCTCGGCTCACTGCAACTTTTGCCTCCTAGGTTCAAGCAATTCTCATGTTTCAGCCTGTTGAGTAGCTGGGACTACAGGTACATGCCACCACATCTGGCTATTTTTTTGTATTTTTAGTAGAGATGGGGTTTTGCCATGTTGGTTAGGCTGGTCTCGAACTCCTGGTCTCAAGAGATCCACCCGTCTCAGCCTCCCAAAGTCCTGGGATTACAGGCATGAACCACCACACGCCCAGCCAAAAAGATATTAAAGAAGACATTAGCACTCATAAAAGCAATCCAATGGGCCAGAAAAGCTAAGGATTTTAGAATAAAAACTAGGTAAATATTTGTACCTAAAATAAATCCCTCTTTTTAAAAATTAGCACCACACAAATTTGTGAATTTTTCTACTCTTAAGGATTATCCCCTACGAAACCAGAGGGTATCCTTCAACAATAAGAACAAAAAGAATGCACAGCAATATAATAAGCCAGCCAGGCATGGTGGCATGCACCTGTAGTCCCAGCTACTGGGGAGGCTAAGGTGGGAGGATCGCTTGAGCCTAGGAGTTAGAGGCTCTGGTGATCATGCCACTACACTCCAGCCTGGATGACAGAGTGAGACCCTGTCTCAAAACAGATATCTCTATATATATGCTATATATAACATATATTTACTATATATACTATATATTATATATAATATAATATAGATAGATACTATATATACACACATATATACACACACACATATATATACACACACACATATATATACACAATGTAATTATATGTACTCCAGCCTGGGTGACAGAATGAGACCCTGTCTCAAACCATATATATATATTTTATATAGATAGATATTATATATCTATATTATAGATAGATAAGACAGTATAATTATAGGTACTCCAGCCTGTGTGACAGATATAGATAGACAGACAGATAGATACAGATAGATAGATAGAGATATATATATAGATATACGTATCTGTTTTGAGACAGGATCTCACTCTGTTGCCCAAGCTGGAGTACATATAAATAATATGTATATTTATATACATATTATATGTAGTATATATACATTATATAATATATACATATAATATATAAATATTATACATACATATAAATAAAATAAGCCAAACAGCATAATATAAACTTCGATAAGGCATCCTTTGTAAATCAGAATGTATTTAGGGGTGTTATTCAAATTTTGCTCTACAATTTTCAGAGACTCCAGAAAGTTCAGTAATGTAGGCATTCAAACCTAAAATAATTGCTCTGTTTTCTATTATAAGGAATTCCAAATACTACTAAATCATACTAAGATACAACATCTTAATTATAATACCTTTTCATGGAGAAGTATAAAAGGCAATACCACCAATTATAAGAAAGATTAGAAATCATGATCACATTAAAACATTTTTTCTTCTCGAAACTATGAACAATCCTCCAGGCATTCAACAATTATTGAAGGACTACCTAAAATATAGCAATTTTTCATTCTCCAATAATTAAAAGTATACCTGATAGGAGAGAATTATAAACAAAGATAAAAGTAAGTACTGAAGCAATTATCTAGCAAATTTGAAGCATTCTAATTCTACTTATATAACTATATATCAAAATTATGTTTCTTCTTAAAGTTACAAATCAATATAAAATTCTGTTACTCTCTTTGCCTTTCTCTGACTAAATAAGAAAAATGCTGCTTTAATACAAAGTTAATAATATTTCAATTTTCTTGTTCATGCTATCCATTATTTTAAGCAAAACAGTAAAAATATCTTTTTATAAATGGTTAATAATTATAAAATGTTTTTAAAATTACTCCTTGGAGTGTGCATGGTGGTTTAGCCCTGTAATTCCAGCACTTTGGGAGGCTGAGACAGGAGAATCATTTGAAGCCAGGAACTCAAGACCAGCCTGGTCAACACAGTGAAACCAAAAAAAATTAGCTGGGTGTGGTGGCATGTGCCTGTAGTCCCAGCTACTCAGGAGGCTGAGGCGAGAGGATCGCTTGATTCCAGGAGTCTGAGACTGCAGTCAGCCATGACCATGCCACCGCACTCTAGCCTGGCCAACAGAGCAAGACGCTGTTCCAAAAGCAAAACAACAACAACAACAAAACAAACAAAAGACATTATTCTTTGGAACATTAAAAGTATATTCAGCTTATAAAAAGCTGCAATACTTCAAATTTTGTACAATTTTAAAAGGCAGAGATTAACTTTAAAAACTGCTTTCTATGCAAGGATTAAAGTGACCATTATCTTATACACAGCCTTAACCAAAATATGAGAGAGTCATACAATTTTCAGCACTGGAAAACAAAGAACAATAAAATCACCTGGTCTAGCCTCTCTCCTTCATTATGGGGAAATCAGTAACACACATCCCTCCAAGTGCCATCTCCACTGCCAGTCCTGGGTTCTTATTACCTATCCAACTTTTTAACAAAGCTGTAGAGGGTGCCAATAATGCACATGGAGTAAAGAAAACTTTTCAAATGATCTTACCGCAAACAGTAATTCCCATCAACAAATCCCATCTAATGTTTAAGAAAAATGTCCAAAATCAACTCTGCCTCCTGCTTTTGGGCTTCTCTCCTATCTCCTATTCCAGCAGTTTCACTAGTCTTATGACCTCTGTCACTTTATATATTCCATTCCAATCTCACCACTTTAAAATTTAATTGAAATTGCTCTTCTGGCTCAAAAACTGGAGAGCACACGTAGAAAACACTCTTAATAGCCACAAATGCAACAGGTTAATAGACTGACATCTGTTTTTTGGCCATTCATATCAGGGAAAATCATTAAAAACCACTAGTCAACTCATCAAATGCACATAAAAATATGCCCACTAGTGAGTCTTTAGGGAAACATGAAATAAAATAGAGATTTAGGCTAGATGTCTGAAAGGAAGTAAATACGAATAATTATTCTAAAACCTCAACAGGCACTAAAGCACAGAGATCAATGTTTACTTAAACAGACTTTAAGATACTTTGGACCATCAGCTGATTTTTCATTTTGAGAATATCCCTATACAAAAGTAAACTTACTTCCTCCATAACTGGTGATTCTCTGGATGGGAATACCAGCCTGAGCAAATGTAATTCACTAATTCAACAAATACGTAAATGCCCACCAAATGTTCTGAAAGCACTCCAAAGTCACATACAGATGGTGCTTGGCTTACAATGATTTGACTCAATGATCTTCTGACTTTAAGATGGTACAGAAGAGATACGTGTTTGGTAGAAACCATACTTTGAGTACCCATACAACCATTCATTTTCAGTACAGTACAAAAAGTTACATGAGACAGCCAACACTTCATTGTAACATAGGCTTTGTGTTAGATGATTTTGTCCAGCTGTGGGCTAAGGTAAGTATTCTGAACACACTCAAGGTAGGCAAGACTAAGATATGATGTTTGATAGGTTAGGTGGACTAAATGCATTTTCGACTTACAGTATTTTAAACTTGCAGTGGGTTTACTGGGATATAACCCCATCACAAGTCAAGAAGCATCTGTACACGTTTTTGTTTTTGTTTTGAGACAGGGTCTTGTTCCGTTGCCCAGGCTGGAGTGCAGTCGATGGTGTACTAAATGCTCACTGTGGCCTCAACCTCCCAGGCCCAAAGGATCCTCCCATCTTAGCCTCCCAAGTAGCTGGGACTACAGGTACACGCCCCCAAACCCGGCTCATTTTTGTATTTTTTTGTAGATATGCGGTTTCACCATGTTACCCAGGCTGGTCTTGAATTCGTGGGCTCAAATAATCCACCTGACTTGGCCTCCCAAGATGCTGAGATTACAGTCACCACACACGGTCGTACATGTCTTTTAAAATTTTCTATGGGTCTGTATGATTTACAGCAGCTATGCTCTATTTGTTTTCTCAAGGGGAGATGTACC